AGCCTGCAGTGTCAGCCACCACCCCTGCCGCCTCTTCCGTGAAGCCTGTGCTCTCATCGACAGATGGTGATCAAGTCCCGTGGCACTTTACCTTGCCTCTCTCGATGCACACGGCACCTACTGCTCCTGTGCCCGTGTCTCTTCCCTACCAGATTGCTCGATCCTTGAGAGCAGAGCCTGGGTCTCAGCCATAGTGATTGCCGCAGCACCTGGTGGAGCACCTGGCATATGGATGGTGTCCAGCCAAGGTGTGTAGCTGTGGAACAAAGGGATCCTGCCACAAATCCTTCTGTAAATGGGATGCTGTTTGTAACGGGAACAGCAACTCCCTAGTGTGACTTACTGAGGACAGGGATCCCTTTTGTTCATTGAGGTCAGTGAAATTTCAGAGCAGGGTGCATAGAAGAACATATTTGTAGGTAAAGGTTCTGGTAGGATCCGTCAACTACACGCACGCATGCACGCACGCACACACGTGTGCGCGCACACACACGCACACACCCTCGCTTCTGTGGCTCCTCCCCCACCCTTCTTTGACCCTCCTCAATCACACTGTAAAGGTTTGACAAAGGGTGACTGATAACGCTTGCTAGACAAGCTCTTTGGCATCGAACGTAGTCCTATCCAGAAGAGGCACAATTTGTCCCTGCTTCTCTGGGTGTTTCTGTCCAACACTGAGGTCTGGGAGATGGAAGCCATTACAGCTAACCCTGTTCATCTCAGGAGGCCAAACGTTTTCCTAGTATTGCCTTATTCGGCCTGCTCGGGACCTGAGACGCAGGGAAGTGTAGGTGAGGCAGGATGCATGGAGTCTCCCAAATCATTCGGTGCATTAAGAATGCAGACTGGATGCCACAGCCATAGGCATCCGTATGCATCCCAGAAGAAATGATGACCTGGGCAGAGGCCTCAGCCTTTCCTTGGACGCACCATTGTCCATGGGTCTGAGGCTCGGAGTCCAACCACCCATGTGCACTCTCCCCTCCTCCGCATCTCATCACCCTCTCTGTCTGCCAAGATTCACAATCCCAGCCTCCACCCCAACCCCACCAACCGGCCTATTAAGTCTGACCAGGTTGGATTAGACCCATCATCTCCCTCCCCTTCTTCATGCTGCCTGTAGTCTCCCTGGGACCCTGTCCCTGTACCACCCTCATCCTAGTACCACCCAAGGCAATCCGTATGAGGGGGACAGGAAGAAGGGTGACATATGAGGACTGCTGGGGAAGAAGAGAAGGAAAAGAGACCTCACTCACCCCAAACCTGGCTGCCTATGACTGATTTCCTTCTCCTCTGCTTTCCAAGCTATTAACGAGGTTCAGCCTCCCCACCCCCACTTCCAACTCCATCACTATCTCTAGAAAGCCTGGAGCAGCTGTCACGGCGAGGAGAATGGTCATCAGAGACTGGGGACTTGCGGGGCTAGGCCACAAATACAGCTGAGCAGGGCGGAGGAAGGGATCCATCCTGGAGCCTCAGAGTCCCGCCTGGCTATGCTGGAATCACCCTGCTCTACTGCTTTCCATCCCTGCGTGTCTTGGGCAGCTCACTTCACTTCAGCCTCATTTTCCTTACCTGTGAAACAGGGGTAATAACCTCTACCTTTCTAGTTGTTGCAAGGATAAGAAATAATGTCACAATAAAAGAGGTGGTTGCAAGGTCTGAGATGGGAGCACTTGGTGCTGAGAGTCCTAGGAGATCCCCTTATAGATGCTGAGTACCTGTGGGTTCCCCCAAGGCAAACCAGGAAGGCTCCTCAGTGACTTTTTTACTACAGGCTAGAATCACTCACTCTTTGGGGAGCCTCCTGTCACCCCAAAGCTGGTCTGGTTCTTCCGGGCTCCACCAGGGACAGGGTTCTCACATTCCCATGTGTGTTCTGTTCCCAGGCATCTGGGGAGGAAGAGCATGCAGGGTCCCTGCTGCAGTGGAGAGGGAGGGTGTGGCTCCTGTGACCTGCCTTAGGAGTGTCTTGCAATCCTCTCCCGCTCTGGCTCCTGAAAAAATGATGAGCCTGTAAGAGCAGCAACAGCCTGTGCTCCATTAGCAACTGAGGCAGAGGCAACGTCCTTGGCCTTCAGACTGTGTGCTGGCAGGCTGGCCATCCACAGCCAGGGAGCCTTGGGAAGTCTGAGCCCAGGGGGTCAAGGCCTGTCACTGCAGAGCTGGGATCTGGGGTTACATGGAAGACGAGGCAGGTGAGTTGGGCTCCCAGAGGTGGGGGGTCTCTGGGCATCAAAACCTGAGCCAGAAACCACTCCCAGGAGAGAATCAGGGAGAAGCAAGATGCAGTTCTGGGCTCTCCCTGTCACAGATGTAGTTTCCAAAAGGGCCAGTCTGGAGTGCCTAGTTGGCTCTGGTCCCACACTGGGATTTGGTGGGGTTTGGGTTAAGGGCAGAAGCAGAAGGGGGCCACGTGGCCCCTTGCCATTGAGGGGAGTGAACTTGGGAATGCTGGAGTCTGGGTGAGGATGAAGTGGGTCAGTGGTCTGAGTCCTTCTGGCTAACACCCAGCTCTGTGCTGGAGGCCAAGGGCAGCAGCTCAGCACCACAGAAACCTCTGGTCAGGTCTGCACTTGTGCTCTTCTGGCCTGGCTCAGCAGATGCACATAGCTGACCACTACAGCTCTGTATAGAAAGATGATAAAGTAGATCTCCTCCCCTCTCTACTTTGGGAGAATTCTGACTATAAGCCCACAGGCTCAAACATAGTGTACTTTTCTTGTCTTGAAGACTCCAAGTTTTCGCCTGTCTGCAGTTTCTAGAGGTTTTCCTGCCCTCATTTTGCAGGTGGCATGGAGAAGTTAGTAATTCTCACAGCCGCAGGCACCACCCACTTGACTCCCCTGAGATCCGCTGATAAAATTGCTTCTCTGTCCACCTTGTGGGGCTGCCCTGGGCATGCCAGTGCTGGATACCGTGGGCAGGCAGAGCATCACTTTAGTCTGCAGCCTGGCGAGTGGCAGGAAGCAGCACGAGACAGATGGGGAGGGAGCAGAAGTTTGGCTGCCCTTGGACATGCAATAGCCCATCCAGTGACGGTTTTGAGTCATTTGAGTATCAATTAGAGAAGAAGGGAGGAAGTCACAGCACTTCTCTTTCTTGTGGAAATCATTTTACCTGTTGGCAGAGCCTCCCCATATGCCCTGGCTCTCACGCTCATTATAAGCTGTGTTTCTGCAAGTCCATCAGTGCCCAGTGCTCTACATGGACTACTTAGAGTTTAGCCTGTAGTTGGTCCCAGACCAGAGAGTCAAAGGCAGAGAAAGGCCAACCCCAGCCATCAGCCAGCTCAGGCTTTTGCTCGTAGCTTCATCCACAGTATTCAAGGGGGCCTCCGGTGGTCTCAGGTGGACTGGCTGTGCCTTGGTGGTTTCCCACTGTCCCAGACATCCTTTGTCTCCATCTGTACCCAGTGACAGCTCAACCCTGAGAGAGCTAACTCAAGTGTTTCCATTGTATGCAAACCCTTGCCCACATTTTTAATCTTTTTCCTAAGATAAATTCAAGATCCAGCACTGTTCCCACAGCAATGTATGAGGGCTCCCATACTCTTAGCAACAGTCGTAATTTTCTAAATGATAGTAAAGTCAGTACCAACAAATCAGAACATTTAATTTGCACATATCGAATTTCTGTGGGAGTTTTTTTATGTTTTGTCTTGGTTAATTGTATTTATAATGTTGTGAGTTTCTTGCTTATCTTTTGCCCTTTATTCTATAGAGTGATTGGTTCATACTGATTTGGTAGAGCTCTCTACAATAAAGGTATTAACTCTTCGTTTTTCATACTTGTTGCAAGGATAAGAAATAATGTCACAATAAAAGAGGTGGTTGCAAGGTCTATAGAGTGATTGTTTAATACTGATTTGGTAGAGCTCTCTACAATAAAGGTATTAACTCTTCGTTTTTCATACTTGTTGTAAGTATTTCTGCCTTTTGTTGTGATGCCTCTCACCTCTTGAAAGGATGTTTTGTTTTGTTGGTCCATGCAGAGATTTTAATTTCTATGTACTCAAAAATCTATCAGTATTTTCCTTTCTGATTTCTGCCTTTGATGCGGTGCTCCCCAGAACAAAATTGTGGAAACATCCATGTATATGTTGTACAAATTTTTTATACTTTCATCTTTTACATTTAACTCTTTAATTATTCCGGAATTGATGGCATGTGTCTTTGTAAACTACTGTGCATTCCCTTTGAAATGAGAGTGATTACTTCATTAATTAACATGGCAAGGCAGGAAGCTAGCAGAGGGGAGGGCTGGAGATCCTGGAGAGAGACGGGGCAATTACTGAAGCAAGGCTTGGAAGAGAGCAGACCGAGTGCTGTTGGCAGGAAGTGTGCAGAGGGAGCTGTCTGGAGCCAAGGTGGGACACTCGGTCTCGGAGACGAGACAGAGGTCAGCGGGTGGCAGAGGTCTTTTGCCAGGAATGGAGGTAATGGTAGGCAGGGACTGAGGAGAGAGGAGGACTGTGGTCCAGGTGCCCAAATTCCCAGTGATGTGGAGATGGAGCAGCAGGTGGGCAGGAGCCTCAAGGAGAGAGGGTTACCAGTTACAAGGACCAGTGATGATCCTTGTACTTTTGGGCCCAAGGGCCTAGGGAAGAAGTTGGTACTGCACCAGGGAGGCGTCCTGGGGAAATCCAGAGGCCGGCTGAGCATGCGTGTGTGGCAGGAGCAAGAGGAGAAAAGGCTGGAGGCATGAGGGAGTTTGTCTGCTGTGGCCGGGTACCGGCACCATGGAAGATCTGAGGGGGCGGGGCTGTGTCGCTGGTCAGTGGAGAAGAGTGTGAAGGAAAGTTAAACGAAGCGTTGCAGTTCCAGAGCACTTTCGTGTAAGAGCTGGCAAGGGCCTCACTCCAGCCCTTCAGAGCAGAAGGGTACTGGGGTTTGCCAACTCAGGCAGGATAGGAACCCAGCCTGGGCACTTGCACCTCCCCACTGGCCCAGCAGCGTGGGCCTTCTCTGACCGTGTCCTTCCCTCCCCTCTCTTTGCAGGACAGTAGTCTGCTCTGCCGGCCCCGCCATGAATGGGATGGCCAATGTGAATTCCGCCAGCCGCGCTCACTATGCCTCCTCCATCCCAGTGCCCAGAGCCTCCTCCCAGACCAGGATGCACACTCCGGGTGCGTCTCCCCAGCTTCGACCTCGCCAGGCTGGCCTGGCCCTCAGCCCCCAGCGAGCAGCCTCCCCGAGGTTGGGCAAGGCTGCGGGCTCTTCCAGAAACTCCTCACCCAAGGCCTCCCGCGGGAGAGGCTCCCCAAGGGCTGCTGGGGCAGCAAGGGAGTTGGCCGAAGGCAGTGAAAGCCTCCCCAGCTCCCCCTGGAGCAGTCCCAGAGTAGCCCCAAGGGCAGCCCCCTCCCCCCGGGCTGGGTCCAGAAGAATCGGGGATACACAAGGCATCCAGGGGAAGAAGAAGAATACCCAGGAAGGGACTCCCGTCCGCCAGACCCGCGGCAGGAGCCCACCCCAGACAAGTGCTCATGGAGAAACTCAAATACCAGGGCCTCTTGAAGGTCGAAAGCCTCCCAGTTGCCCAGCCAAAGATCAAAGAGATCTAAACTACGCACGTTCTTTGGAGCCTGATGAGGGAGCAGCTTCAGAGGCCGTGACTCCAGCTTACAGTCCAGCACAGAGCAAGCGCCCCTCTCCCAGCCCAGGGACCATTAGCTTCTCCTCGGTCCATCAGCAGAGTCAGCCCATCACGGCCACCGTGGCGCCCTTCCGGTACAGGTGAGCAGCGGGAGCAGGCAGGGAGGGGAGGAGGGAACAATGAGGCTGGTACTGGGTCCTGGGGGGAGAGGCCGAAGGGAGAGCTTTGACAATGGACACCAGAGGGCTCCAGGGTGTGGAGAAAGAGGCTGGGCAGGTGGAGGCCTAGAGGGTGGGGCGTTTGGCAAGCAGAACTGGGACTGAGAGCACAAAATGGGACCCTACCTCAGCTCTGGTCTTTCTGGACGCTGCGGTCTCCACAGAAAACAGACTCCTAAGGATGGATTTCTTAATATGTCCATTTCTCCTGCTTTCTGGGAAATGATGAAACAATAAATTAGGTATTGTGGATTCTTAAACAGCTAGTGTCTTAGTCACTTTCCTATTGTTGGGACACACAATACACGACACCCACAATTTTAAGAAGAGAGGTTTATTTTTGCTCAGATTTCAAGAGTTCAATCTATTGTTAGCTGAGCCCCAAGGCAGACAGGCCATGATGGAAGGGCCTGGCAAAGGGTTGTTGTTCAATCTATGGCAGCCAGGAAGCAGAGGGAAGGAAGGCGCTAGGGAGGGAGACAGCAAGCCTTCAATGACATCCTCTTCCACCTGGGCGTCACCTCCCAACACAGTCAGCCATGAACTCATCAAATGGATCAATCCACCGATGAGTATAGAGCTCCTGTGATCCGCTCACCTTCCAGAAGCCCCACTGCTAAACACATGAGCCTTTTCCAGAACATTCTAGATCGAAATCACAGCAGCTCGATGCATAGGTGGGGGGTAAGTAGGTGCATCCATCTTGCTCGATTCATACTGGACATTTCTCACCACTGTGCATAAGACAAGCTGCACGGTGGTGGACGGTGTGCCTTCGCTTTATGGTGAATGGAATCCTGTTTCATGGCTTTGTTTCCATGGCACTTCGTGTCTGTCCCTCCCACACTTCCGGCCATGCTTTTTAAATAAAAATGTGCCTCTTTGCTAAAATGACTACACTAAGTAATATGTGCCTACTTTTAATGACTAATACTGTAATTACTTTTAATTAGTAATTATTATATAGTTCGGGAAGACTCAGATGCACATTAAGAACCTTCCCGAGTAAACTAACTTCCCATTTCTTTCCTATGCTCGTGCCAGAAGAAGCTGTTATTTGCACTTTGGGTATAGAAAAACTTGCACGTTGCTTCCTAGACACTGGGGCCTCTGAGGCATCAGAGCAGCTGGATATGGGGCCGAGACTGTCTAGGGGCTTCAGCCTTCACTGAGACACTCATTTGTCTTGACCGCTGGATAATCCAGCGCAGCCTTATATGATAGTAATAGGTATTTGGGGTCCAGAAGGGGCAAGCAAACAGTCCCGCCCCATTCTGCTGTATTCAGGCCTCCTTCATCGTGTGCATTCAGATCTGAGCACCTCTTAAAAGGATGTTAACACACCAGAATGCATTTAGGGAAAGATCACAGGCTAGGAAGGGATCCCAAAAAAGGCATTATAAAAGCAATTAAAGGAACTAAAGAAGTTTGCCTTGGAAGAGAAAGATTTAGAAGGACCTGAGAGCTGTTCTCAAATATTTAAAAGGCTGTCATGTTGTGAGAGGAATTAGATTTACTTGGTGCAGCTCCAAAGAGCTGACTCAGTGCCATGTGGCTAGAAGTTCGCTCGAGGCAGATTTGAGGCTTGAAAGAACTTTCCAGCAAGTACAGAGGATTGTAAATTGACAGTCAGGTAGCGGACACCCCATCCCTGCAGGAATTCCAGCAGCTCCCATGGCCAGGGAGTTCTTACTTGAGTGACCCCTGGCTCTCTAGTCATCCCTTCTGCTGGACTGTCCTGCCCACAAAGTCACTAATGTCCTTTTCCAGAGGGACAATTCACTCTGTCCCTCGTGACTCTGTCAACTTAGATTCTAAAGCTGATTGAGAACTCCAGAAGTGAACATGCAGGGCAGATCTTTTTTCTGTGGTTCTTGGGCTGGAATCCAGGACCTCTCACCTGCTAGGCAAATGCCCTGCCGCTAAGCTACATCCCAACCTGACCTCCCTTTGAATGTCTTTTCTCTAGTTGGCTAAATGTTTTCCTGGTGACTGCTGGACTTTCTTCTCCTACCTGATACTCTTTGTTTTGAATTCATTCCTTGGGGGAAAAGTATCTAGGTATTAATCTGTTTCAGATTTTTCATTATCCACTGTGCAAGTCCCCTGATATATTTAGAACCTGACATTTTCCTAGGGAGGTCAGAATATTTTCCTCTGAAGATTTCAATGCAAGTTAAATGGAACCACGTCTCCTTCATTCGGCAAACATTTATCATTATGTTTGCATTTTCAGCACGAGTGCAAATGTCACATTTCCCCAGTGGGACTTTCTTTGCACCTCACTGCCTTGACCCTACTCCTTTCAGGTCCTAGATTAGGGCTAGAGGGAGGGCCATGGGTAGAACAGGCAAGGGTGAGAGTAGGAGCAAGGAAACCCCAAGATGCTTCAGGCAGATGGCAGGACCCCAGCACACCCTGCAGGGGCCAAGAGCTGCTGCCATGGGCAACTCTGCCAAGAGCCTGGCTGGGCCACCCTTCCAAGACTCAGAGCCAGAGAGGTGCCATCTGCTCCCTAGATGCAGACATCTTGTTTTCGTGGAAATCTGCTGCCTACCCGCAGCACCCTGGCCTGATGCAAAGTCCTAGGCGGACGAAGAAGCAGAGGTTTTTGGGGCTCCCTGCCTCGTCCCCAGCCTGGTTACACCTGACCTGCTTCTCTGAGCAGTGAATCCATCGGCCACCTTTTGCTGTTCCCTATCTTCCCAGCCACCTCTTTTCAAAAGGACATGGGTGGAGTCAGTCTTCTGCTATCTGCGCCCTCCCCTGGATGCCCCTGCTTTCTGGCCAGGAGAAGGTGCAGTGCCCCATGGCTGCCCTCTGGATCCCCTGACCTCATCCCCTTCCTCACTCCGTGTTCCCAGAGAAGCACCATGGTAGCCGTGTTAGAGTCCTCACTGTGTCTACCTGCCATGGTTTTCTTTCCCCAGTGGTCACTCCTTCCTTTACCAGGCATGCCTTGGGTTGGACTTCATCTAGGAAATGCCAGCTAATAGTGTCAGGAGTGTAGGGTTATATGTATCGCCATCGTGGTTTTCTTCCCTCCGGTTCAACCTCCATTTAACTTGCACTAGATAGCACTGTCCTTTCAGGCAGAGAAGCAGACAGATGTGGAGGCCTGGTGTGTTTGGGGAGGTAAAGGCAGGTGTGGAACCAAGTGCACAGCTGACTGAGAGCAGAGAGCTGAAGGCTGCCTTCTTCCAGGCTCCTAGGATCCAAGTTCCTTGCATGCTTATAATGGAGTAATAGTCAGTATAGCAGAACACTCCTGTTTTCGATACTGATTATACCTGCCAGACACTGTTCCTAGCTCCTTACAAAGATGGTTATTCAGTGAAACGTTTGATACGTTACATAGAATTCCCTCTCCCCAGTAGAATGTTCTATTACTTTTTCACCAGTATGTTGCATTTCTTATTTCAAAAGCAGCCAACTCCAGCTTTTCCCTGTCCCCTTAGCACTCCTATCATACCATGCACCCCTGGAGGCCAGGACGAGATCTCTTGCTTTCTGGAGCTCACCCCAACCTGCCTTATTCCCAGCACCCCCCACCCCAGGCCCTGCAGACCCAGGAGAGCCCAACACAGCCTGAATGGCTTAGACAGAGCTAAGTAGAAGCCACAAAACCTCCTGCAACTCCAGATGTCAGACTGATCTGAGCCTTGGAGGTCATCCCTTTGCCCTGTGATGGAAGCCAGGCCCCGAGTGGCAGAGAGATTTGCTGGCATTCTTTACACAGTGAGCTCACAGCAGAGCTGGGCCCCAGTGATGACCGTCTAGGTGTGGAAAGAAGTACAAGCTGGACAGTGAGAAAAACAAATTTCAGCAGCACTGGAGACTCCCAGGGCCCCTGGCCCCGCCTGTCAGTTTCCCCTCCTGCCTGCACAGTCCTCCCTTCCCCCTCCTACCAAGCTGCCAAAGGATCCATTTAGCTGGCGACAGCGGG